TATATATATATATATATATACTGGTATATACTAACCCAACATACATCTACTGTACATAGTATATCAGTTACAAACTATTTCTGTAGAGGGGAGAATTCAACATTTAGTCATTTTAAATGTAGTTTTTAATTCAACATTAGACTCCATGTGCATTAGTCTTGTATTAAGTTTGCCTTCTTTTTCATACAAAATGTGCACCCCACAAACAGATTCTAAATATTAAGAATTAACATGAATTTGAACTTCTACAGGAGGAGCTGCAACAAGTTTCACACTTGTGGAACACCCACATCATCCGCCACAGCAGAAATGCAGTGGCTCCAAGTGGACGTCCAATTCTTATGTACACCATCCCACATCTATTTGGTGGACAAGAACATTTGGTGGACGTCTCCCAGGAGGCAGTGGAAGCTTGTAAACAGGAATGTCAACAAAGGGGACATTATCCTTGTGATGAAACAGTGTTCAACTTGTGTTGCCATATAACGTCAGATAACTTCTTGCTCTCACCAACCACAGCAGATGAAGCCATAGAGCTATATATCTTTCTGAGAACTTACATACTTAAAGCCTTATAAGCTGCAAGTGTCCTGTAGCATTAAGATGTGGTTAAGATGGGGCGTCTTCATCGCCTTGATGACTCAAGACAAGACAGAGGAGCTCCCAGTGTTGCTGCCATGAGAAAGTCGTGCAAGCCTGAACCAATAAACTGCTGTGAAATCTGGAAGGTATGAAACTAAAGGAAAAGGAGGTGGACCAATTGATGATAGTGGCCTTTCAACTGCATGCTAACTTTTAGCTAAATATGAGCTGATGACTTAGAGGCTTGCACAGCTAAGTTATAGGGAACATCATGAATATGACAGCATCATCTAAAAAAGGTTAAGTCAGGTCCTCAAGACGTTCAAAAAACAAACAAACAAAAAACAACTGTAGAAACATTTCGTCTTTCATCCGAAAGACTTCCTCAGTCTGAGGTGCTGTATTCAGCTCAGTCTTATAAATAGCACCTTCTCAAAGTGGATCAACCAGTTTGCTGCTGACAACCAAAACCAGCTGCTCACGTGATCAAGAGTCCTGGCCTGATGATGTTACTCTTTCTTCATGCCCTTGATGTGTATGCTCAGATTTGTTTAGAACATGCACATTTATGAGGAAAGCAAGTCTCAAAAGATCAACACCATCAGGCCAGGACTCTGCGGTCTACACTCATCTCCAGGCCAGCGGTCACTCTTTCAGGGATGAAGATGTTCACATCCTGGATAGAGAGGAACAATGGTTTGAGAGAGGAGTAAAGGAGGCCATCTTTGTGAAAAGAAATCGTCCATCATTAAACAGGGGCGGAGCCTCCAGGTTCAACTGTCCCCCTCTTACAATGCTGTGATTGCTAGTATCACTCAGCCCTCTGTGAACAGTAAACAGCCATCAGGTGCTAATGATCCATTGTTAGGCTGATGGTCCTTCTTGAGCATGTGATCAGCTGGTTTTGGTTGTCAGCAGCAAAACTGGTTGATCCACTCTGAGATGGTGCTATTTAAGAGACTGAGCTGAATACAGCTCCTCAGACTGAGGAAGTCTCTCGGATGAGAGACGAAACGTTTCTACATTTTTTTGTTTTGTTTTTGTGAATGTCCAGAGGACCAGATTTAACTTTTTTAGACCATCGTCTATCATTTCTACCGTGTACCGTATATATCGTGCTTCCTAATTCTGACTTTCACAAGCACACAAGAATCTCACCGTCTCAACATGGAGCTAAACGTATTCATAGGTGGTGATATTAAACTTTAAGGAGTAATAGTGTGGTCCACAAGGTTCACTTCTTGATCGGTGTTGAAGATCACCACAACACAAGATATAAATAACAAGTTGGAGCAACTCCTTTGGGGCACAACAGTTTGTAAAAGAACTTGCTCTTACATTTTTTGAGGAAGAACGGACGATCTCCGTGATGGGCCCGTTCTCTCTGCTGTCTCTTGAACTCCAGCTCTCTCTCCCTCTGCTGCTCTCGGCTCAGTCTCGCTCGCTCCTGGTTCTCCTGCACAAAGTCACAGCCAAAGCATTTAAAAACTCAACTCTTTCATGTACCGATCAACCGCAACATTAAAACCCCTTGGAGCAGAAGATTTTTTGCAATGTAACCTGATGCTATAATCATTAAGTTTTTTCCCCCCTCATTACTTTTTAATAACAATTAACATAATTTAATAAACATTTTGTAAAACTAATAAATACAAGTGGTGTAACGGTACACGTGGGTGTATTGAACCGTTTCGGTACAGCATGTTCGGTTCGGTCCAAGTGCGTACTGTTTTGGTTATTTTTTTCACTCATTCAATTTTATTAATGAGAGTTTATGCGTTGTGGAACTAAAGTTCCAAAGCGTGTTTCAGCACGGCACTATTATCTTGCAGCACGTGTAGCAATGGCAGCCTATCAGGCAACGAACAAGCCATCTCGTTGCGGTCTCCAGTTTGGGAACATTATGTCTTTCTTGTTAATAGACAAGTGAACAAATCCAAAGCTGTGTCGATGTTGTTTCACGGAGTGTGGATCTGCTGCAGACGACACGTCTAACTTGATAACGCACTTGAAACGGCATCATCTGAATGTGAACGTAGCGTGATGCAAAGAGCGATAGCAGCATTTAAACAACTTTTATCAGGTAATTCAGATCGGTCCAGAGCAATAACACAAGCTGTAGGAGTTTTTAAAGCTCTGGATCTATGTCTGAATGTTGTTGAATGTGCCGGCTTTAAGCATATGATTAAAGTTCTTGAGCCCCGCTACAACATCCATCACATCAACACTTCAGCCAAAAAGTCGTAGCAGCACTTTATGAAAAAGCCAAAAATGATCTTGTCAACATTGTCGTGTTGAAATGTGAAGCTTCGGCTCAGTCTGAGGTCCAGAACACAGTGAAACACGTTTTCATTGAAGATACAGTAGCTCTGTACTTTGCTCCATTCAGTGTTCTCTCAACCCCGACCAGTCCATGCTGCCACCACCAAGCTTGACTGCAGGACAAGTGATGAGCAGTGCCCGTCTCCTCCAGATAGAATAATTAGAAGTGAGACCAAACAGAACCATATTGGTTTCATCAGACCAGATAATCTTGTTCTTTACAGCCTGAGAGCCATTCAAGCAGCTTTCCAGTGTTTTATCCAAAGAAGACGTTTTCACTGAGACACTGCTGTAGAATGAACATATGCTGATATATATTCATAAATTAAACGGATTCTTTCATTTTTCTGGACTGTATAATGTACGTGCATTGAATAATTAAAAATGTGGACGGAAACGTTAATTATCTTTGACTCACCAACGACAGTGGGTCATTTATTAACAGAATCAAGTTTAACACATCACACATTTACATTAATTGGCAAAAATTGAAAATAACAACAGCTTATTTAGCAAGTTTTACGAGGAGTAAACAATACGGCGATGGTTGAAAACCTTGCTTCCAGCTTCGCACAGACATTAACCACACGGCGGTGGTTGAAAAACTTTGCTTCAGACATTTCTAAAAAATATCTGGAATGATTTGCTAGCAGGATAAAAGAATTTTAAAGATGGAAAATGAAGTTTATCTGGAGAGAGGTGGGTGAGGGAATTTGTCTGTTTTAACCAGGACAGCACGCTCCTTTGGACCAGCTTAACCCAACGGTACACTTTGGTTGAAGATCGACTTTTTACCTTTCTGAAGATATGTCAGTTCCGGCGTAAAGTTCCACTTCAAGCCACTTTTCAGCGTCACCGTAAGGACAGTAGGGAACCGTTCGGAGTCGTGAGATCATCCAGAACAGACTTCATAATTCCTCTGAACTTCTCTCGTCCAGCTTAGTTGCAGATGTCCTGAGCATGCTGCATTCCAGCATTCTGCATTCCAGCATTCTGCATTCCAGCATTCTGCATTCCAGCATTCTGGACTCTGGAACTGCCGAGTTTCAGAACTGCAGAACTGCTCGAGCTCCTGCAGAACTTCTTCATCTACCGTGAACTAGGAAGTGTTGCACCTTTTAAAAGGGCTCACTTCCGGTTCATTTGAGAACTTTCTGATTGGTCGATGGACCAAAACAGAGGTGTGTTTTGTGATGTAAGGTGTTATTAAAAAGTCAAGGAAAAAGATTAAGATTGTTTAAGAACAGACAAAAGATATCATGAAGAACTCAGACTTCGTGGAGTCACTTCTCCAGTATCTTGCTGTAAAAGTTAAACATGACATTTCTTTTTCAGTAAACTTGCAGTTGACCGAAACTTGAACTTTGACCAACTTACACAACTTGCTCACTGAAGACAGAAAATCAGACAATGCATCATTAACCTGATTTCTTCTTTGAATGAGGATTAAAAATCGTTATTACTGTTTCACAGTTGATTTAAAAATGAGTAGTTCACTTCAACATTTAAACATTGTTTGAACTAACACAATTTGATTATCAAACATTTGTAAAATAGTAATGATAATCGAAAGTAGTGTTCTTTCACTTGATTAATTCAAGAAAGAAAGTCTCAGGATGGGTCAACCTGTATTTCTGTATTCAAATCAATGAAATGACAGTTTCTGTCCCATAAGGTCCTTAAGGTCAGGACTTGACCCCAGGCCTAGTTCACTACACTGCCATAAAGCCCAGATTAGTGTAGGTCTGCAGTTCTGGTTGTTCTTCTGGAACCTAGTCCCATCTCCACACAGGATCTCCGATGCTCGGTCCTAGTGCATCATCAGGTTCTTTGTCATCTCTCTTACCAAGGCCCTTCTCCCTCAAGTGGTCAGTGTGGCGACCAGATCTAGGAAGGATCCTGGTTGTGCCAAACCTCTCCTAGTTGAGAACAAGAGTATGCCAATGTCCCCCATCACTGAGGGATTTGAATAGTAAATGTTTGTAGTTTCTGAGATGAGTGTTTTCCTGAACTAGAACTGAACAGGGAATGCAAGTCAACCTTAGTGTTTTTGGTGCAAGCTATTCAAGTAGTAGGATCCAACAATTTTCAGTCAGGTCATCTGGACAGTTTCTTTTTTTTTGGTCCTGAAACATTTCACCTTCCACCAAGGCTTCATCAGTCAAGGAAATGCACAACACAAAACTGATTCTTCCCCCAACAGCTTACTCCAAAGTGGAACAAACCAATTATGTTGGTGCTAAGATGGTCTCTTTGGCATGCCCCCTCCTCCAGCGCCGGCCCTCTCCTTCGTCGACAGTCATGTAAAACTGGTTCAAAACCAACAAAGTCCATGCTCAATAATCCAGGTATACAATCTCGACAGTTTCTTTTTTTGTGTGCTGAAACGTTTCACCAATTTAGTCTGAGTTAATGTCAAACAGTAAACTGTTCAGATGACCTAACTGAGTTGGATTGTATACCTGGATTATTGAGCATGGACTATGTTGGTAGTTTATTATTTTTTCTTGATCAAGGTGGAGAGTGAAGGACCTTGGAAAGCGAAGGGAGCAATTTTATCCACCACCAGCTGCAATGGCAGAGCCAGGGGGTGACCAATTGTGGCCTTGGCCACCACCGATTAATCTTTGACCACTGCACTGGCGCCATTGCTTATTTTTCAAGCTATCAAGCTCACAAGGTTTACATGTAAATGGCAGCGACCATCTTGGATTTTGATGTGGCAATAGTTTTCAAAAATAACAATTCTTATGCCTATATTCACCCATACACCAAAATGGAAGTTGGTACCTCACTTGTTTTTTAAATGATCATGCTCACAACATTCATGGACAGAAGGAGGGTAATCCAACTCCCCCTTTTCACTCCACAGTTGGGGAACAATTATGAGTGTCCACTGAGCTCTGAGAATGAATGCACTAGAGATTTTCCTTTCCACTGTTGTCTCTGTGCTTGCTCAAGATGGGAGACAACTTCTGTTGTGATTTGGCGCTACATAAATAAACAGAATTGCATTGAAGTGAGAAACCTATAGTTCATCCATCCATTATCTTTACCCACTTCTTCCTTTTTGGGAAGAAGCCCTTCACCATACATGACTGACTATTTAAACAATGAACAGGAAAAGCGTTTGATACTTGACAACACACTTGATAACTTTATGGTGAATAGTGGAGGATAGAAAATGTGAATGCACGTTATGAAAACTGTTCTTATGACCAGTGCACCACTTGTAAACCTACTGTGGGACTACAAATAGCAAGGATTTGATTAGCTTAGGTTCATGGTTGCCAACAGCCACACTAAATCAACAAGCACCACTCCACTCGCGCCACATTTTCTTAGATTCTTGGGAGTGGACAAAGCTCAAAAGTTTTCAGTCATTATATGAGTTATCGGCGGCCACCTTCCCTTCACAATACAGGTATTGGCGCAAGCCAAAATTTCCATATCGGTCGGGCTCCAATCATATACCCTGCAGAGCAAATTTATTATAAATTTACGGTATAAAACACATCTGCTGTCAAGAAGTAAACCAATCTCCTTACCTTTGTTGTGAGAACATGTAACTAAGGTTAGGGAGGAAACAGAAAAGGTCTCTAAATGCTCAGACACAAACTGTTCCATCTTCAAAAAGACTCCCAAGTAGAACAAACAGGTGAAAGGACAATGGTTACGAATTGTAACCACAGATTCTATGAATGGTGGGTGCAGCCCTTTAAGCCACACCCCCTACTTGGTGTAACCCTGTGCGCAGCGCACCAACACTGAAAACTCAAGTCCACGCCCACCCACTGTGTGGGCCCCACCTTAGACCGAATAAATAGCATGCTAGTTCATGGCTCGACTCCCAAATAGCTATTTTTTCTTCAGCCACCTGGGAGCCAGTGAGGCCCAGAGCTTCAAGGGCTGCACCCACAATTCATAGAATCTGTGGTTACAATTCGTAACCTACGTTCTATTTCATAGTGGGTTTGCCCTTTAAGCCACGCCCTAGTGGGTTAAAGGCAAAGCAGAATCTATTCCAAGCCTCACTGGATCCGTCCGAACGCAAGAGTGCATAACCAGAATAAACTGCTTAACACATGATCTGACTAATCCCTCTGTCGTGACTATGTGCAGTTAACTGAAGCA